GCTTTACAATGATGTCGCTTAGCAACGCCGCTGTATCAATAAACAAGGCTGCGGAGGCGACCCGCCCCCCCTCCCCCGGGAGCAGCGGCTCAGCAGTGAGCCCTCCTGCCTGGGAAATGGGCCATGCAGCCAGTGCCAATGTTAGAATGATATCGGTAAAACCCGAGCTGAACAAACCTGGGTCAAACGCTGCTCCCCTGCGAAAAACCCCCAGGTACTGCATTCACATCTCTTCCTCATCGAGTTCTTGTGTTAGCCTGTTCGGGCGGTCTTTTCATGGATTAGGAGAAGAAATTAAGCGGACCTGAACACTACCAGCCTCGGCTGCATTGTGTTTAATGTAGCTCGCAAAGTTTTTCTGCATAACTAAATAATAATCGTTGGTAATTAATTTCCCCTCTTTTTTACAGAATAGCACAAACTAACAGCTGTATAAAGGAAACTCCAACTTACATTGACGACTTGGTGAGAATATCATTTTTGTTGTTTGTCGTTCCATAGAACTATAAGATAACGAAGCAGAAATCGACCATTCAGCCCATCGAGTCTGCTCTGTCATTTGATTATGGCAATAGGTTTCTCAATCCCATTTCCATACCTCCTCCCTGTAACCTTTCATCCTTTTATTAATCTATAACCTACCTATCTCTGTCTTAAAGACACTCAGTGATTTGGCTTCCATAGACCTTCTAAGGCAATGAATTCCATAGATTCACCACCCTCCACATCAGTTGGTTCCAGAACATAGTTTTACAGAACAAATTGCAGATATACCAACAATTTGCACATAGACCAACAGATTCAAGAACAGAATCTTCCCTGCTGTTTACAGACTTATGAACAGACCTCTTATTAGAGTTGATCTTTCTCTGCACCTTCTCTGTAGCTGTAACACCATATTCTGCATTCTGTTCTATCACCCTGATGTACTTATGTAAGGTACGATTTGTCTGGTTAGCATGCAAAACAGTACTTTTCACTGTATCTCGGTATGTGTGACAATAATAAATCAATTAGATCAGATATGATGGTTTCACTCATTGTGTTATTTTGATGGAGAATAAACAACAATGCATTTATACAGCATCTTAATGTAGCAAACATTGCAAGGTGCTCAATAAGGGTGCTACCAACCTTTAAAAAATAGATTGGGCCACAGAAGGAGATTCCAGATGACCAAAGAGAGATTTTCAGAAACACCTTAGAAGGTAGAGACAGGTAGCAAGGCACGTAAGTGTATGGAGAGAATTCTAGAGCTTTGAGCCCAGGCATCTGAAGGTGCAGTTGCCATTGTTAGACCACTTAACGTCAGTGATGTACAAATTTTCACAATTGGAGTGCAATGATCTCAGATGTTTGTAAGGTCAGGGGAGATTACAATGTAAGGGAGGGGTGAAACAATGGAGGTTCAGTGGTTAGCACCGCTGCCTTACAGCACCAGGAACCCAGGTTCAATTCCAGTCTTGGATGACTGTGTGAAGTTTACACGTTCCCGTTTTGTCTGCGTTGGTTTCCTCTGGGTGTTCCTCCTCCTACAGTCCAAAGCTGTGCGGGTTAAATGCGTTGGCCATCCTAAAAAGCCCCACAGTGTCTAGGGATATGCAGGCTAGGTGGATTAGCCATGGGAAGTGTGGGGTTACAGGGATAGGGTGGGGGGATGGGTCTGGTAGCGATGTTCTTCAGAGGTCAGTGCAGAACTGATGGGCTGAATGGCCTCTTTCTGCACTGTAGGGATTCTATGATTTAAAACAAGAATAAGGATTATGATATTGGGGTGTTGTCAGACTACCAGTCAGTGTAATTCAGCAGGCACAGGGATGGTAGTTGATGAGAGTTAATAGAAGGACAGGCTTGTGGTGAGCACAAAAGAACATAGCATGGAAAATGGGAGGCAAGCCAGGACAATATAGGAGTAGTCAACCTAGAAATAAGAAAAGCATGAAAGAGGGCTCCAGCAGCAAATAAACCAAGACCAAGTCAGAGTCAAGAAATGTGATAGACGGCAGTCTTGACAATGCAACAGATATATGATTTGAACGTTATGTCAGTGTCAAATGCAACACCAAGTTTACAGATTTTCTAGTTCAGCTTTAGACAATTGCCAGGAAATGTAATGGAAATAATGGACCAGAAAAGAGATTGTGGTGGAAAGGAAAACCAATTCTTTTCAATATTTGTTTGGGGGAAATTTCTGCTTATCAAGTAACAGATGTCTGACAAGTGGTGCATCAAGTCAGTGAAACAAACAGAAGTGTCTACAAGAGGTAGTGTGCAATTAGTCCTGAGTGGAGGTAGTAAGTATGTGTAGATTCTCATGTGTTATTTGATGATATCACCACAGGTCAGCGTGTAGTTGAGAAAAATACAGGGCCAAGGATAGAAAGAGAGGAATGTAAGTACAGGAGTAGGCCATTCAGCCCATTGAGCCTGACCCTCCATTCAATACAATCATGACTGATTGAACACTTCAATGCCTTTTACCCACCCCATCTCCATATCAATGTGCCCTATTAGTAATCAGAAATCGATTGATCGCTACCCTAAATGTACTCAAAAGTAAACATAAACCAAAGCCCTTTGTGATGGAGAATTCTAAAGGTTCACAACTCTGTGAATGAGAAAAAAATTCTCCTCATCTCAGACTTAGGTGGCATCCTGCTTAGTTTTAAATTATACCCCATGATTCTAGACTCCCTAACCAGGGCAATGTCATACCTGCACCTTCCTTGTCTATTCCTTTAAATATTTTGTAACTTTCAATGAAATCATCTCACATTCTTTGACAGTATTAGAGAATATGGTCCCAGTTTTCCCAATCCTTTTTCATAGGACAGTCCTGCCAGACCTGGTGAACATTTGTGGCATTCCCTCCGTAGCAATAATACTTTTCCTGCAATAAGGAGATCATAAACTGTACACACTACTGCAGAGGTGGTCTAACCAAGCTCCTATAAAATTGAGTCAAGACCTCACTGTTCCTGTACTCAAATTCTCTTGCAATAATGACTAATTTTCCAGTAGAATCATAGAATCATAGAATCTCCACAGTGTGGAAGCTGGCCATGTGGCTCATCGAGTCCACACTCTCCAAACAGGATCCTATCCAGACTCACCCACCTACATTGGCCCTGTAACCCTGCATTTCCCATGGCACCAAGCCTTGCTAATAGATTGCTACATCTGCATGTTAGCCTTTATTGACTTATCAATAAGGACATCTAGGTCCCTTTGTACATCAACATTTTCCAACTTCCATTTAAGAAATTCTGCTTAAATTTTTCTAACCAGTCCCCCATGAGACATTTTATCAAAAGCCATCTAAAAATCTAAGCATACAACATCATTTGGCTCTCCTTTATCAAATCTGTTCGTAACATTTCAAAAATCTCCCAAGTTAATCAAACAGGATTTCCCATTCATAAATCCATGCCAACTTTGCCCAATCAAGTCATTATTGACTAGGTGTCTATTTATCTTATTCTTTGTAATAGTTCCAGCCATTTTCCCTACTACTGATTTAATGCTAACAGATCTATAGTTTCAGAGATAGTAGGAACTGCAGATGCTGGAGAATCCGAGACAACAAGGTGCAGGACTGGATGAACACAGCAGGCCAAGCAGCATCATAGGAGCAGAGAAGCTGACGTTTCGGGCCTAGACCCTTCATCAGAAAAGCAAGTTTTTCTGATGAAGGGTCCAGATCTATAGTTTGTTGTTTTATAGTTGTGATGTTCTGTACATTCTACTCCACTGCAATCATTCCAGAATCTATAGAGTTTAGGAAGATAATCGTCAATACATCGACTATCTCTATAGCCGTCTCTTTCAAAACTGAGATGTAGATCATTCATTCCTGGTGATTTATTGACTCTCAGCATTATTAATTTCTCCAGTTCAATTATCTTACTGATGCCAATTTCCTTCAACACCTCATTTACTGTATCTTAATTCTGACAGAATTATGGTATCCTCCTCAGTGAAAACACTCACAAAGCTCCTATGATGCTGCTTGGCCTGCTGTGTTCATCCAGCTCTACACATTTAGCTTCTCTGCCATTTCTTATTCCCTACTATGCTGTCTCACAGCAACAGGGACCCAGGTTCGATTCCACCCTTGGGCAACTGTCTGTGTGGAGTTTGCACGTTCTCCCTGTGTCTATGTGGGTTTCCTCTGGGTGCTCCGATTTCCACCTGCAGTTCAAAGATGGGCAGATTAGGTGGATGGGTCATGCTAAATTTTCTTTAGGCCCAGAGATGTGCAGGCTAGGTGGATTAGTCATGGTAAATGCGGGGTTATGGGGATAAGATGCGGGCTGGGTCTGTGTGGGATGCTCTTCAAAGGGTCAGTGCAGACTCAGTGGGCTGAATGGTCTCTTTCTGCACTGTAGCGATTCCATGATTCTTTTCCATGATTCTATGATCTATGATTATAAATTGACCTGTCAGTCACATTCATTTTAGCCAAATGTTACCATTTTATGTACCTGCAGAATATTTCACAGTATGTTTTCATAATTTTTAACTAAATTGTATTCATATTCTATCTTTAAATATCAGTTTCTTGGTCCAGCTTTAGTATATTCTATAAAGCAACCAATTCAAAGATGCTACAAGTGTATATGGGATAAAAACAGAAGTTGCTGGAAAAGCTCTGCAGGTCTGGCACCATCCGTGAAGAGAAATCAACTCAGATTGCGCTTCACAGATGCTGCCAGACTGCTGAGCTTTTCCAGCAACTTCTGTTTTTGTTTCTGATTTACAGCATCCGCAGTTCTTTCGGTTTTTATTCTGTATGGGATAATCTGTCTGGTTAGCTATTGGCATGCAAGTTCACAGAAGACCAATTTTGAAGTGGGTTATTAAACCAGTTTTGATACTTATCTTACAAACTACCACTCATTTTAGAGAATCATCAATTATATTTGTGAACAATATGAGCTGGAGTGACTGTCCTCGATTGTGTGTGGCATCAAGAATCCCTAGAAAACTAACACAATGGGATTCAGGGGAAAATCTCTCTACTGAGTAGAGTCATTAACTAGCAAAAAGGAAGATACAAACACACAAATTAGGAATAAGAGTAGGTCCTTCAGCTCCCTGAATCTCCTTCATCATTCAATTAGATTATGGTTGATCTGATAACTCCACATCCTCACCTAGTTCACCCCACCATAACTTCATTCTTCTTCATATCAAGAATCTACCTATGTCTACCTTAAAAATATTCAAGAGCGTTTTGAGAAAGAGAGTTTCAAAGGCACATGCCCTTCTGTGATGTACAACTGTGATCCCTAGTTCGAGATTCTCCGACAAGAGGAATCTCACATCCACCCTGTCAAGATCCCTGAAAATTATACACGTTTCAATCAATTTGCCCTTATTCTCCTAAACTTTAGTACCCTGTAGATACAAGCCTAGCCTATTCAACGTTTCCTCCGTGTGCATTCTGTGTATTAATCTGCTAA